GACATCTGGTGAAAATTTCATGTCATTAGCACCTCTAGTAATATATTTACTGAGAAAAATGGTGAGGTGTTCAATACTTATTTTACCCGCTGTATTATAAACATACGTTTCAACTCTTTTCATCAAGTTAATAATGTGGTTTTGCCTTTGATTAAATCTGAATGTTTTTGTGGTTGTAAGTGTGTAGTACTCACTCTGAGCCCAGCGGTAGAGCTGCTCGTACGCAGTCTCCTGTAACACCGCCATCTGCTCCATGATCTCTAACCTAAAACAGACACACACGCCGGGACCACACATCAAATCCTCATGACCTGAAGCATAGTGTCGGACCCCGACAGCGACGGGAATGCTAAACATAGACGATTACCTTTTTGTCTTTCAGTCTCTTCTACGTTTAATGCTCATTATAAATATAAACATCGTTATATTCATTAGTATCGGAGGCGACGTGACGCTCACCCTGCAGTTTGCTGGTTGGTTCTCAGGAGGATTTTCACATCTTCATGTATGTGTTTCACCCGAGACAGAACTTTGAAGAAATCCTGGAAAATAGAATTCCACACATAAATAACAATACTAGCATTATGAGCATAATCAGACTTCAAATGACATTTTGTTTTGGGGGTTCAGCCAGAGCATCTGTTACATATAAGAAATGCCTTGAAACTGACAGCAGAGGACGCTGTTAGTTTATAGAACTTGACTTGATGCATAAGATAAGATAAGATAAGATAAGATAAGATAAGATAAGATGATAAGATAAGATAGACCTTTATTATTTATAGGTAAAACGTAAAATAAATCTGTTTTTGATAATGCAATGATGATTATACTAAACATGTTTGTTGAACTCCAGGTTTGTATTATTATGATTCAAAAAAGCAGTCGGTTAACTCTTTTAAACCAAATTAAAACTTGCGTTAGTCATCGGTCTCCAAGATGGGATGAAGATTTGGTCAAATATAAATAAATTGTGTAGATTTTGTTGGTGAGGAAGCCAGACTGTGCTACAGCTAGTCAACAAGTCATTATAAAAGACTTGAAAAAAGTGATTTTATTAACAAAAGAAGAGAAAAAAAAACAAAAGAAAGAAAGTAATGCCAATCTGCTTAATGAGTCCAATAATAGAAGTTTAAATAATCAACTTTGAGGTTTTTCCGGAATATGGTTTGTGATTTTCAAATTAAAAAATTAAGCAGTATTGTATAAAAGTACCACAAAGTAATACTTGTGTAAAAGTACAAGCATCTTACCAAGAAATTACTTTGGTAAAAGTTAAAGTCTACTTAAGGAATATTACTTGAGTAAAAGTCTTAAAGTATCTGATATTTTTTGTACTTAAGTATCAAAAGTAAAAGTATTGATTTAAAATGAGCAGTTAGATTTTCTGTAAGGACATTTATTAGGAGGTGACCTCCCCAAAAACTGCAGAAATGACTGTTATTATATTATAGGTACTGTATTAAAATAATTAATTGATGTTAAATTTAGGATGCACTAGTCTAGCTGTTTCAGTTTATATACATATATCAAGGCACAAAACTTTTCCCCAAAATAAAAATCTGTCTGAGGGCTGCAGCCAAATGCAATAATATAATTCATGAAATACAAATACTTCTTAAGTACAGTCCTTTTATTTTAATGATTATGTCCTGCTGGAGTGTGACAGGATTTGTTTGTGTACAAACTAATACGGTATCAGAGTTTTATATATTTATACTTCTCATTCAACCACAGTTAAATTAACTCTATCTAGGAGGCACAATTTATATGGATAATTCATTTTTTTCACAATAACAAGCTGGAATGAAAACAAGCAAAAATTAAATAAAAGTAACGACTTTCTACTTCTTGCCTTTTTTTTAAAAAAATGTAAGGAGTAGAAAGTACAGATAACTGTGTGAAAATGTAAGAAGTGGAAGTAAAAAATAGGCTGAAAAATAATTACTCAATTAAAGAACAGATACCCAAAATTTCTACTTAAGTACAGTAACAAAGTATTTGTACTTAGTTACTTCACAACTCTGAAATTTAAGTTTTACCTCACATTACTTATTCCTCGAATATACAATAAAGAAATAATTATCATGATCTTATTCTGGTTATAAAATGTTCGTATGAAAACATCACTTCACCAGATTGAAACATTTTCTTTAATGGAACTGTGGATAACTGACGTCAGCAAGATAATACTTGTTATTTGATATTATACCCTCCTGTTCTGAGGCTGCCAGAGGGTTGTTATAATTGAATTTAGGCGTCCACATTATGACAGTGATTACCTCAGTAATGGGTGCATCTCGAGTACCTCGTAGTGTGGCCATTTCCTCATTAGTTAGCTGGAACTTGGCGAGGAAAGCTTGAGCGACCTGGGCTTTCACTTCGAGCCGCTGACTGGAGGGACACAGAGAGATGCTGTCGTTGTTGCATTTTACTATATTCTAATATAGTCACAAGAAAGTTTTCTTTCTTTAAATTTAAGTGAGTTTAAGTTTGACTTAAGGCCCTGTCACGCTATGTTTTGGACAACTTAAGCCAAGTTATGAAAGTTTTAAAAACATCTTCGGTGAAGATGGAATTAAAAACAATCAACTGGAATCCTCCTTTAGGTGTGTTTATACAATAATGTGTACAAATTAAACAAATATATAGATTTTATTAGTAATTTAGACAATTATTTTCTCATAGGTTGGCATAAGTTGTCTGAAATGTTAGTGTGACTGGGAAAAACAAAACAAAATGAAAGATTTATTAACAGTGAAATATAACAAATTCTAAATTGCTCACTAACAGTTCTGTAAAGCACTTATTGTGTAGAAGTATGAGGAAATACCTAAAAATAAACACTAAATCTATATAAATGATGCAGAAGAAAGAAATAAGAATTAAACTGATCAAATTACAAAGTTGTAATCTTAGGTCTACCCTGGGGGAGGTGCTCTCTGCCTATTGATTCATTTATTAAATAATTTACTTTTGTAAAACAATTTGGGATATTTTGGAGTTAAAATACTTTGTAATGCTCTCACTGTGTTTTACTTAACTTTCCTGTTTTCTTTGTATTTACTGCAATGTGTTGTTCAACATCAGTTCAACAATTAAGAAAAGGTTTACTTTTCCCCCAAATCTTTCAAACAGTAACACATATTTTACACTTTTAGTGTGTATTATATGACATACCTAAATTTCTCAGTTTTCCAAGAATATGTATTTTCCTGACGAACTACAATTTGGGTAAGATAAATTACAACACATGATTCAACAAATATATCCATAATGTGATGACCAGACTAAAACCATGCATGTAGTTTTCAGTACTTTTGCTAAACACACACACACACACACACACACACAC